TCCCTCCTCAAAGTCTCTGGATCCCAGCTGATGTGCAGCAGCCAAGGAGCCAGACCTCAGTGCTACATGGAGGTCTGTGTGGGTCGAGGAGGACATAGGCAGGAGGGGGTTAGAAAGGGAGACAGGACGTGGAAGGTCTCTCAGGGGCTTCTGAGCCCACATAACCTTGAGGGAAGGGACAGGGACTGTGACTCCCTCCAGTTAAGACTAACACTTTCCATCCTATGGGGCCAGTATTCCTTTGCAGAGAAATGGGAACATCCACGGGACACCGAGGTTCTGGGAGCTCTGGACCTTGGAGGCGCCTCAACACAAATAACCTTCCAGCCTGGAGTGCCCATTGAGGACAAGAACACCTCCGTCTTCTTCAGGCTGTACGGCACCAACTACTTGCTCTATACCCACAGCTACCTCTGCTATGGGCAGACGCAGGCCTTGAAGAGGCTGCTGGCAGCTCTCCACCAGGTACCACAGCCACTGGTCACCAGGATCTGCTCAACCATTCCCCATTGCCATGAAAAATGTCTTCCAGAAATTTTGGGCATGCCTGTGGAAAAAGCATTAGGGAATTTTCACAAATCCAAAAACCTGGGAGAGGCTTTGATTTTATCTACTGAACCAAAAAATTCTCTCATTTGGGTAGAAGGTGGTGGCGGTTCCCTGCCAGGGCTCCCTTCTCCCCAGATGTTGACATGTAACAGCATTTTTCATCATTTCCCAAGCCCACCTCTGTCCTTAGGTTCTTCCCTGTCCCCATTCACTCACCTTTCCTCAATTTCTGCCCAGAGAGAGGATTCCCAACATCCTCTCCTGCATGCTGCTGCACCACTAACCGGTGTTGTCCGGTCTCACCTTGGTCAGAGCGTGCAGCCCAGCACTGTGGGAGACGGAGATGCTTGGGGAGCATGCAGGCAGGATGCATCTTTGGTCCTTTCTGGGCTAGGGCCTGCAAGATGCAGTGGGGACAGAGCGAATGCAGAGCGCAACAAGCCCTCCGTGCAGGCCCTGCCCTCGGGAGCAGGTAGCCGACCCCACAGGGAGGCACAGGCTGGCATCGCCACCCCAGCACAGCTCAGTGGTGGGGCTGAGAGCAGGACCAGCAAAAGCTGTGCGCAGGTTAGGCATGCAAAGGATGGATCCTTCTGCTCCTCAAATCTTCCTAGGGTCTAAATCCTGGTTTTTGGGAATGTCTAAGCATAGGATGGGCTGTGAGGTAGGGTCTCCCTGGCATCCCAGGCCAAGCCCTGCTAACGGTTCCTGCTCTCTCCAGGACAGCCCGTCTCACCAGCAGATATTGCACCCCTGCTACCCCAAGGGATACCAGGAGAATGTCAGCATGGCAGATCTCTACAACAGTCCCTGTGTCCATGCACCAAGCACACCCAAGCCTGCACAGGTCCTCACAGTGATGGGGACGGGGGATCCAACGGTGTGCACCACCTCTATCCAGAAACTCTTCAACTTTAGCTGTGGGGCCAACAGGACGTGCGGGTTCGACGGGGTTTATCAGCCGCCTGTGCGGGGACAGTTCTTTGTAAGGAGCCTCCATCCTCGTGGCTGTGGTAGGGGAGGAGGGAGAGTGGGAGTCTCCTCTGCCACTGGTTGTGGGAAGGGGTGGGGATGGAGGGGACCCTAGAGCTGGTCCCTGTGTCTGTGGTCAGGGTGTGGGGCTCTGGGGCACCAGAGGCTGGCCACAACTGCAGGAAAACTGCTTCAGGAGAAAACTCCGAATAGTGCCAACCCTGAAAGCTGGGATGTGCTCAATACATGGGGACATGCAGGGTGCTCACTAGCATGCCAGGCAGACCCAGACCTCTATTGTCACAGCACAGTCTCTTTTGTTGTGGGGATCAGTCCCAGGGCTCGCTCCCTCCCTGCAGGTCAGCAGGCATCACGCTGCAGTGCTGAGAGGTGGCCTTAGGGACCCCTGCAGAGCACCCAGAGGGAGAGGCGAGGAGTGCAGGCAGCAGCCCCAGGGCTTGTCCACCAGCTCCAAGACTTTCTGGTAGACCATCAAGTGGATGCTGGATGCAGAAGCCTCGGAATTACATGGGACTCTTT